CAGGTGTGTGGTTATGCGGCCTCTGAGCCAGGCAGGTACACTGTGAGGTAAAACTCAAGTGTTGTGGAATCTGTGAAACGTTTTGACTTGTGACAGTAAAGAAACAGGTGTATTAATGATGGCCGCATTCCATTTAGTGGAAGTCGTACTTTTGCGCATGCGGGTTCACTGTCATGTCTTTAATGGAACTGAGCCATCAATAACTCCACCGCCCTACTCTGAAAAGTCAAAGTGTGCATTGTAATATCATTATATATCCAAAAAGATTTAGTAAGTCCTCATACATAGCATGTCAAATTCAGTATGCCAAAAATACACACATGTCCTGCTACATCTGGCCAGATTTTGCAGTTTGCAACCCAGCATGCGTCAAGGTGCCTATGCGAGTATGCACAAGATTGCACCGCTCATTTTTCCCTATAGGCTGCAACGGTTAAAGTTTAAGGCACAATACCAATGTCCCAGTTGTACGCGTACTGCATGAGACGGTATGTACTTTGTGACGGCAGCCTTGGTGCATACTTAAAGCAGACAGAAAATGTTTTAGAAAATGATTGCATTCCAATCATAGACTGTATATAAAAGATAGATGTAGCATCCAGGTCTGAAAGGGAAGCCAGTGTGGTTGTGACATAAACCTGCATTCTTTCTGATAGTTAGCAGGTGGCGGATCCTCTGGTTGCAAAAAGAAGTCTGATTTTGTAGATGATTTCTTTAATCTGTTACCTCTGTTGCTATTTTCATGTGTTTATGGTCTCGATCACTAGTTTGAAAACTTTCTGAATACATCATGGTGTTAATTTAGTAAATTGTAGAGTGAAATAGATGATAAATTAGGTTATATTGTAGGGCGGGACTAATGTTGGCAGCTAATGTGTCACAATATGTGGAAAAACTGTGTATTTTATCTGCAGTCTATGATTCCAAATGCCAGTAAAACTTTAGTATGTCCCAATATGTAGTATGTCAAATGTAGTATGCAAAAAACACCAGGATGCCCTCCTACATTTAGTCGCATGTTTGAGTGCACTTCTTCTCTTATGCTATCTCTTAAATGCTTACTGCATGAAACGGTACGTATTTTGGGCATACTGAAAGTTTGCAATTTTAAATGCATGTGTTTTAGTTTGAAGCAGCTGCAGTTATGCATGCCGGTGGAGTGTGGCTGCACATGTGTTCACATTATGGGGTGTGGCAGGCTGTTGCCACACCCTCTATCAGGTGTTTGCTTGGAGTTGTGGCTTCTACTTGTGCTTTAAGCCTATGTCAGTGATTCATTATTTTTAAAAAGTCACTTTCCATTGGAGAATTTCAGCAGTGTTCCAGAAATAACCTGTGTCCATGCTAACACACTTGAAAACATAAAATGCAACATGGGATGGTTGTAAATAAAACATAGGGTTGTCTCCTGCACATGTAGACACGATAAGCAAGGAATTGAACAGCACAACAAGGTTAGCGATGCCTGTAATTCATCATCCATGTCGAGTTATCCATGAATAGTCAAGACCGATGTCTATGTTTTTTCCGGAAAAGAGTGATAGGAGCGGAACAATTCAGGGAAGGACATGCAGTGACTGATAAGAGCCAATCAGGAGACAAACATGGGCTTCATCGCTTCTCACAGTGTCCGTTTCTGCCTGTCCAGACTAAAGTACAATCCTGGAGTTTTCAAACTAAAGATGGGTTAGCAGTGTTTTCAGCAGTCTGTGTTTTGGGATTTCTAAAATGTCACAGTGGGATGGATGCTAGGCATAAATACAGCAAAAGGAAAACATTTTAGTGTGGACCTTAGGGCTAGATGAAAGGGTTAGGCTGAAGCAAATCGTCCTGTGGGGGACAATGAATGTCGACAGTTACCAAATTTTTCATGACATTTCATTGCTATGAAGATATTTCTGCCTGAACCAAAGTAGTCGACAGACCAATTGACATCCCTGAAGCTACATAACACTAGCAAAATGGCCAAAAATTTACATCAACTTGGTAAAACTCCAGGTTAATCCCTCTTTCGCGCAGCTAAAACGTGAATATTAACATCACTGTCAGATTGATGGCTCAGTATAAATCAAAAGAACTCCATCCTGGTTGTCTTAAGTCAATTCTGTCAATTATTAATAAGCGCCGACAGCACGCGATAAATCAATGAGCAAACCCACAGTGGAAAAGCTATTAGTGCACGGGGCTGTATTTACGTCTTCATTTCTTTCAGCCCTGCTAATAAATCTTGAAAGGTCTCACCTGAGGCACCTAACCTGTAGACTGGCTGAGGTAATAAAGCAGGAGGATACGTCTGGTGTTACATGGACTACAACTACCCCGCGCTCGTCTTTAATTGGCTACCTCCGTGTTGATTCCGCTTAATGAAACTGAGGACTCCATGTAGTTTTCATCTGATTGCCTTCATTTTCAATTTGGCTCACCGCAGAAAAAGCAATTTAGTGGGAGCTTTTGGAGAAGTTGGATCCTGCATACTGACGAGGGGCCAGTCGTGTGTGTTGGGAAATGTGGGACTGAGGTTTTTTATCTGCTTCTGAAACCCTTTGATTCAATGCAAAAACACCTGCTGTGGGCTCATTAAAGCAAATACAAGAGTTTGTATGGCCACTGTAAATATGCACAGCCAGTATGTGTCGCAACAGATTTTTGCTTGAGGGAGAACACAGTTAAATAGCAGGTGCACAGAGTAGTAACATTGTTTGACTCACTTATTCGTGACACACCAAACTAAACAGCCCCGTGGCGTCTCATCATCGGCGTGTGGCACATTTGACAGGTCTATTTCTGAAAATCACTTGACAGCATCTGCTATTCTGGGCAAAGTAATGTGGGTTACATCTGCTCCTGTGAACTGGGCCAAAAGGAGATCTTTTAACAAACACGTTTGACCAGAAATTAGCTCCAAGATGATGGACTACTGTGTAAGAATTACACCTTCACATTTACTAGTGAGATTGTGACAGGCTTAGTCCAGAATAAGTCTGTTCATATTGCATATTTTTATTACTATGAATACATGCCATGAAAAGATGAAGAGTAAATTGTTCCTATAATATACTATACTGTCTGTGTTGCCAAAGCCTTATTATTATTATCTTTAAAATTCTATGCCATCAAGCTCTATTAAAAACACCTCAGTGATCCACACTGTTGCAGTAGGTGAGCCGTTCTTTCCTTGCAGTGATGATTGGCACTGACATTTATTTTGAGTGAACTCCACATTTACCTCCCTGCTGCCGTGAACGCTCACTAGACACTAATCCACTGCTGAAAATAGTCCCCCCCCTCAAAAAATAAAAATGAATGAGCTGTGTTTAAAACTCCAACTGTGAGACTGTAAGCTGTGCTTGGGGCTAAGACAGATTTGAAGTATTGAGAGATGGTGATGGTTTTACTTGTGTTGACAGATGGTTTCCATCCAAATGTAGCTCAAATCATAACTGAATTCCCAGAAAATCTACACAGGAAAATGCATTTATGTCTGTTTTTATGCTCTGCCATGATGTGAACATCAGGCTCATCAAGACAAACAGCTGGTGGAGTTGATTTTCCAGTCAGGTGCCATTAAGATATTGCAGAAGATGAGGGACGTGAACTAAACTTAACATGATGGAAACAATGTAAAAAATGTGACAGAAATATGTAGTTAATGGTTGTACATGTGTTCATTTGAGTACTGTCTCCTAATCGCTATAAACAGATCTGATGTGTTTCATGTCTTTATTGAAGCATCAAGCTTCAGTATAAGTTTTATCTCACGTATACTTAGGGCTGATGTTTCCAGGTTGATTGGTTGGTCGATATGTTCTCATCTAGTCACATTCTCAGTTGTCGGGACAAACCTTGGTGCTGCATTCTTAAGGTGCTAAAAGTGCTACATCAGTAGCCTTCCAAGGATCAATTTGTGATTTTTGGTGGCGGAAGGAACTCACCCAGCCTACTAGAAACTTCAGGGCCTAACTTATCTGAAATTTACTGAATGCTTACTCAGAGTTGGCTTCAAACCATGCTATGCTAAATAAGCTGTCAGCTTGGCTGCAAGTCAAGTGTAAGTTTTGCAAACAACACTTTGTACATCACAGCTCAACAGCCAAATATGTGAACGCGATAGGCAGACTTTCGTCCATATGTATCTGGGCAGGTGGATGCTCATCGGCTCCCACACTGTTAGATGATCGTTTCTTTGTAAAGTAACGAGTATACAATGATTTCAGAAGTTATCTTTTATCTGTATATTTGTTTTTTTGTCTAAGCCTGAGATAGGGCTAACAGGCAGACGTTGTTGCTGGTTTGGTTAATGTAGCGATAACGTGCAGATTTCCTTTTTTGAGTTGATTAAAAAGTGGTACCATTTCCATTGATCAAGATTTTGTTTGACTGCAGCCCCACAAACTTTGTATGGCAAGATGTATCTGAATGGACCTCTGTTACCTGCACTATTTGTACCTATTGTGTTTGGATGTTTCATCTCTAACAAGGAAGTGCAGCACACACACTATAAGAGCCTCCTGCCATGAATAGATTTATGAATAGAATAAAATTAAATAGATTCCAAAGCAGAGTTTAAAAAAAAACACTTTACAATTGCAGCAAGGAGCTTCTGTGTTCTCATTGTTGTAACGGAAGCCGCTGTCATTGAATCAAGAATTATTAATGTGAGGGACAGTACAGAGAAATAGTTGTTCAATGGGTGGGCATTGTTCCCCGTCTTTCCTGTTCTCAAGAGTTCTCTGAAGGCACAGCTTGAATGAGTAGTTTTCTCCTCCCATTGGAAGCAATTAGTAGCTGCAGGCAAAAGATGCAGGGTAATTGTTTCTCGCAGTCCTCTGACAGATTTACAGATACTGAAACAGCTACAGGACGGCTTATGAAACAAACGGCATGCGGTCTTTTTCCCTGTCCTCCTCGCAGCGTGACAGTGCAAACACATGCTTCAAATAAATCGGATTTCGAAGTTAGTTGCAGCGTTTGTTTACATCTCGAGGGATGTGTTTTCTCACCTGTGCTCCGTGGCTGGGACGTTGTCAGGAGCTCAGCGGATGGAGTGGAAACGTCTGCCAAACTAGCACCGCCGTCCCCGTCTGCAGCCGAGGGAACCACACCTTCCTCATCCTCCTTATCCTCTTCGCCAGGCAGCTCTGGGAACACACATGCGGTTTAACCCTGAGTGATCTCAAAGCGATCAGGAATACAACTTTAATTCACACAGCATTATAGCTCCAAAGCAGTCTGAGTAAAACACATTAGTGAGTCTGGTGCTTTCCAAAAGAAAGTTTAACCCTCCCTGTTCTCTGATCACAGCACGTCTGAGATTTAACTCTGCAGAAAATGGAAGGACTATATTTCTTAACCCAGTTCTGTCAGGGATCGGACTATCATCCACTTAGTTGGAGCCAGTCATCCATAGCACAGTAGACTGGGCCTCTGTGGTCTAATTACAGTGACATCCTTATGTGTATGTGCATGGGTGTGTACATCCTGGTTCGTCGCAAAGCCAGACTCCTTCTTGGAGCCACAGTGGAGATAAAGAAAGAACATTTCATGAAGAGCACAAACGGAGAAAAAAGAGATGCAAGACAGATGGCAAAGAGATGGAGAGAATGACAAATTAATAACTACATGACAGGGACTTCATTCTTTTTTTCCCCTTTGGCTCAGTTTGGTTCACTATCAAAATATGTTTTCACACTCAGCCCCCCCCCCACATAGGAATTGTGTGTTTTACATCATAGCCATTAATGACACCAGATGAGATGTGGGGCAATATGCAGTAAATGAATCTGTTGGGAGGAAATGAAGAGCTTGTGGGACAGCAGGTACAGTTTTAGATTATAGCTTCAGAATTAATATTAATAAAACTACCAAGGCAGAATAGCGAGGAGGATAATGAGTTAGGGGGAAAAAAACCAACATCGTAACAAGAACAAAGCAACGCAAGCTGCTGTCTTAGAAAATAATCTAGGTCATGTTCACAGCTCTCAAGGTAATCGTAAGTTTTAAAAGACTCCAAAGACGAATCCGCATCACTTTATTGCACTGTTGACTCCCACACAGCGAGAGCTCTGTCTGAGCCAAATGAGATGGAGAGTGATGAGGAACGGAGTTCAGCGCTGCACATGAAGGCACCTGCACGTACACATGTAATCTGGACTAAGTCTGAGTCAATCCCACATTTAAATCCCAAGTCTGTGAAACCAGGGACTTGAAAGTCTGACCGTGGAAAATCAGAAGCTAAAAACTGATGGTATGGAGCAGTTGTTTTTAAATTTAAATTTTAAATGTACGTCTTGTTTTCACCAAGTGTGAACATGAGAATGCATGAGAGTGACTCATTTATGTCACTCTGCTGTCAGTCTGAATTCTAACTAATGTATCAGTCTTTAGTGACTTAGTTTGTTTATCTCAAAGCTTTTCAAGAAAAGGTAGCTTATCTGGACAAAAGATTATTAGTTAAATTTGTTGAACTCTGTGAAAATCTGTTGCAAAATGTTTAAAGCACTGAAATATTTTAATCCTAAAACCTTCTGCTTGAATGTTCTCTAAGTTCCCTTCTTCTAAAAACAGGTCATTTCAATTGTGCAATGTCAAAGTCCTGATTAGTGCTAGTAAATTTGTAATTATTATGCGCATTTATAGCTATTATTCTGATTTACCAAGAGCTTTTAATAGTTTAGCTGAAAACTCGAGGCTTAAAGGTCCCATATGGTAGAAATCTGTTTCTATTGTACGTATGAGGACCTTGGAGGTGTGAAATAAAACGAGAATGCTTACTGCTGCCATTCCTTAAGCGCAGGCACAACACTGATTGCAGCAAACAAAGCGCACAGGGAGCTTGAAGTAGAGCGGTAAATATGAGGTCTAGAACGGTTGCATTCTGGCACTTTTTTTTTTTTTTTTTTAATCTAATTTTTGTAAAGAAACTGTAAACTCAATGTATTGTTAGAATACTTTTTGAAAGGCGTAGTCTCACTCATGCTAGTTCATGTCTGTGTCAGCTGCTGTGGCATTAGATGACATTACCATAATTTCGTCTAAACTAATGAGATCTGATTTAAACGAGATAAGACGAGTATATGAGTGCACTCACTCATTCACTCTCTCATGGACAAGGGAAGTCATCTCTTCTGCACATCAAAAGCAAAATTACTGATGAACAGCCATTTATAGAGACTGCTGATGGAGCAAAAATAAAAACAAGAAGATGAGATAGAGGGAGGCGTAAGCAGAATGTACTGCCTCCATTTTGCTTTCTGAGCAGCTCAACGTTCCACATGCAGGCTGAAGTATCCCTTTGACGTCTGCTTAATTTGTACATACATAATTTTCTTTGGTCTGACACTCTATCAATTTTTTCTTAGTCACCAAAAAGAACAAGGTTTCTGTGTGTCTGCTTCATTGTAAGCCGTGAACTGAAGTAATAAAGACCAAGGTTTCATCCAGAGATGTATCCCAAATTGCAGCACCCACACTGGGGAAGTCTTTGAGGCAATCGTGGTCATTTTTGGTGAGGCAGTTATTATGCAGTATTTAGCGGTTCACAAGATCCGTATTATCTTCAGCCTCCAGAAATGATAAGGGAAAGATGATGTTGCACTCCATTACACTTTTTATCCATGTAAGCGTTCAGCGAGTTAATGACAAGAATACATGCATGGGCTCATTATAAATACACTGAGCTAAGAAAGACTAGGAATGGGTTGGGGGGCAGTGCAGAAGAGATTCAGATGCTCGTAATTAGATTCATCATAATGAAGTAGTACGGCTTAGATAGACTCACTCATCTTACATTTAGTTTCTATCTGTACTTGCATACAATTGCATCATGTTGCTAATTTGGTTCATTTTCAAGATAGTTGCTAAGGACTGTAGAGTATTTTCTATCTACAGTCTTACTGAAGATCAGTCTGACATAATCTCTGTTGCACATTTCCATCCGTCACTTCTTTTCCTGACGTTGAGAACTGTCGGGTCAAAATGCATAAAACAAACCCGCTTGGTAAACTGAGTTATTATGAGAAGATTAACATAATATTAAAGCCACCACAGTGTTCTATGTTTGCATTAAAGGCAATTTCCCATGCAAAATCTATCAAAGGACATCAGATATTCATGTCACATGCTTTGTGTGTAAATCTATTTCCATAATCGATTAATCCGTCATTGGCCTCACTTTAGCTGTTTGGTCCATTGCTGGGATCGCAGAGGCAATATATCCTTGCAGGTATTAGAGATGTGTGCAAAGGTCCTGTCTCGCCGCTGCCCATTAGTACAACATACAGTAATGGAATCGGTGGGAGGAGGGGAAAGAAAGAGCAGGATAAAGGAAAGCTTTTTGGAGGAGAATTTACAGCAGTGGATTTACAAAACCTACATTTTCAGCCCCTAGTTCTTTTCCTCTCTTTTTTTTTTCCTGCTCTCTCTTCTCATAATTGCCCTTGCTGTCGGATGTCGGTGTCCCTTAGTAGGGAATTTGACACAGATGCAGAGCATTGCTGTTTTTTTTTTTTTTAACACCTGACAGCCTCCTCAAGGGCAATGCCACACAGCAAATGCTCTCTCGATCAATGAAAACCCACCCGCTTTTTGTGGTGAAGATGTTCAGCACCTCATGTCGCGAAATGATTCCCCCTGTGCAGCTTTAAGATAAATCACAGCACGCAGATAGAGTGCTCACATCGGGGTAATGTATGATAATGCGGGGGTACGGTGCTTTCATTTTCATATTAGTCTCCACCTGTGTCCTTTGGCAAGGTGTGCATGTTTAAACACTGCAAGACCCCAGTTCAGTACTACAACAAGCAGAAGTGCTATTTCTGTTGGTTTCCATTTCTCCTTGAATGACCAGGAGCTTCTCTCATCCTTGTCAAGACATTTCAACCTTCAAAGCAGCCGTAGCTGACATGTCTGTCTCCTGAACAAACTGACAGGGGATTTGTGTTTGTACAGACACAAAAAGATGGCAAAGAGGGAGGGAGGGATAGAAGGGACTAAATGGCAAGAAGCATGTTCAGCATCCACGAACAGCAACTGGCGAGCGGATGGTCCCACAGGAGAGGTGGTGGTTTCGCTGAGTGTGCGCCTAGAATACTGATACGTGAACACAGCAGCCCTCCCCACCCAGCTGAAAGCCCCCTTTCTGTTCTGTATGCCACCACATGGTGTACAGCTGAAAACAAGTGCAGACACAACACTGATCGCAGCAGACAAAACACAATATCCACCAGTTTCACTGCAGGCAGCGTAAAGTAGAGTGTGACATAAGAGGGCTGGAATGGTTCCATTCCAACACTGTAAGAAAAAACAAACTAACTCACAGAACCTGTAATTTTAACATATTGACAGAACACTTTGCTGCTTGTAAATATCTGAACGTTGAAGCACATAATTCATTCTCAAATGTGGAAACAGCAACTAAATAAAATGATTGCGTGTCAAGCTCCATTAGTAATTGCTCTTGAACGTCATGGACGATGGGTCATTGAAAAGCTCAGAAAACAAGTTTAGACAATTCTGTGGCAACATGAGAAATTATGTGTGCAGTAGAAAATAGTTTTATGACTGGACAGCTTCACAACAGTGAGTAGAAAGGCCTTGATGTGATTGTGTTGTTAGTGCCAAATCATTTAAATCTAAATAAAGAATAACATGATATATTGTTTTTGAGGGTGAATTTATGAAACGGTTGTTGTAGAAACATGTTCAGTAGAAATTTTCAAATGACTAGATTAACAAATATCAACGTGTTGAAAAGTAGCATTGGTACAAGGAAGACGCTGTAATTTTTTATGTGATTTATTTAATGCCGAATACATTATGAATTATAAAAAAATTAATACGAATATAAGGTAATACCATTGTGTTTAGATTATTCATTTTATTGTTCCCTAATTGTTTGTGTAATTTTTTGTAGACTAAAATTAATTTAAATGTATCTATATGCATACGCAGAATATGATTAAGTCTTGTGTGTATACATCCACCACACAGCCATTGTTTTTATCAAGCAGAAGCTGAGCATCACTGGTTGATAGTAATCGACTCATCATTTTCTGGCCTAACCTTTGACCCTAAATGATGAATGTGTCTGTAGACGGAGGAGACTCTCATTAAACATACAGACACCACACTGCTACCAGTGTTGGGGGATGGTCAGGGGAAAGGAGGTATCGCCTCAATGTCGTGTCAGGGTCTCCTGAAACCAGAAGCTGTTTGAGCTCATCATCTTTCCCTTTTCATGCATGCGGAGACAAAAACCCCCATCGAGGAGTTTCCAATCAAACACTCCTTCCTTCCATTCGCTGAGGTAATGGCTCATGCAATGCTGAAATGGAAGCACTGCTTGAGAATTCATCATAGATGGTTAAAGGGATAGTTAGAGGGGAAGAATAGTTTTATTAAAATAGGGTGGTATAAATTGCTTGCTGGTAGCAATTGTGAAATGCAAAATTAACTCAGGGTACAGATGAGAGCAGTAAACAACAGCATCTTCTTAACCACCCACAACATATTGCTCAACAGATTCTGATGCTTTAAAGCCTTGGAAACACCATAAAGACGAGTCAATTTGTGGTGGATGGTTCAAATGTTTTTTCGATGGTGTGTTTGTAAAGCTACTCCCATTTCTGAAAGCTACCATGTTGTTGCTATTTTTATATCCTCACGTTCAGCAGCCTGTTGTCTATGCACGAAGACCAGTGAGTATTATGATGTTACGTCAACAAATCATTAAGTTTTCAAAAAACGGTTCAACACAAAACTCATCAGTCTTGTTCCATTAATGCTGATTCTAGACATCTACTTATTGATTGTTGACAGGGTTTCAACAGGATCTGGATTTTATGCAAATCTCAGACCTTTGTCCACTTACCATGTCCAAAATGTCATTGATCAAGCCGGACTGTCTGCAGCCTTTTGACAGCCTTCTATTGAACACTAAAGACCTGCCTGCACATGATTGATCACATCTTTTGAGTCAATCCAACCGTTATTGATTTGTTTAACTTTGCTTACCTCCTGCTATTGGAAAGTTAACCCATTGACTCTGAGTTGTGCTTGTTATGGATTCCCAGACTAGTTTATGATCGATCCCCGGGGCGGTGGAGGTTATCCCTGGATTTTCCTCCTGCCTTGCCTCTGAGAAGCCCAGGTCAGCCTCACTCTGAGTGGGGTGAGTTTCTGACATTGTGGTCTCTCCAGCCTGGAGGGTGATGCTAACAGTGGAATCATTTGGTCCTGTAATAAATATGGTTTCCGTGGAGGTAGGGCGAGTAGCAGGCCCCAGAGTGTGTCCGCTGGTCAGTGTGGTCTCCACCAGTCCCGGATTTGTCGTTGTGGTTCGGGCTGCTGCCCATGTCAAGGCAGTGGGAACTGTAGTTTCTGGTGCTATCGTTGAAGAGATCTTTTCTGTAAAATCCGCAGCCTCCTGATAAACACTGTGTTCATCTGGGAGGTGTTGTGCAGTGGCACCCATGCTGGGTTCAGCTACTCGCGAGGTGCCCCATGGTGGGTGGGTATGTGTTGCGTTTTGTTCAGGAGCGTTAGTGCTGGTGGGACTGTTGGTGAACAGAGTGTTTCTGATAGAGCTGCTTGTGGGAGAGTAGGAGTCTGAAACAAGAGTATCATTGTCACTCTGAACTAAGCTGCTGTGTGGAGAATCTGATGTCCCTGTGGGAAGTGATTCAGTTCTTATCTTTGTCACGCTGGTTAGGAGCCCCTGAGTCAAAGTGGTGGGCGGTTGAGATGCTTCCGAAATGCTCTCTTCTCCTGAACCCGACTGGTCTTGCAAGTGATCAGTCGGTTCTGTCAGCCCTTTGACAGCTGTGGTCAATGCAGCTGTCTCGTCTTTACCGTCCGGATTCCCGTAAAAGGGGATACGAAAAGGCAGCGAGGGAAGGGAAGGGAGCTTTGGCAGAGATGGTTTCCACCAATAGGAGCTGGCTTTATTCTCAGGTGGGCTCTCGTGTGATGGCGTCGGTCCCCAGAGGGCCTCTTCGTCAGCGAGAGCCAGCCTGTGAAGTAGCAAAAAGTACCAGAAGAAGAGAGCCAAGGTCCGGTGGAGGCGAAGCATGCTGTCGACAGTAGCGCACGGACCGGTCACATGTTGTTCTCCATCCTCCTGCTCCCTGAGGCGGGTTTGACTGGCTCGCCTGCAAAACGGCCTAGAAGACAAGAACACACAGGACAGCGGGTGACACACTTTTCCTCCACCCTTGGACTGCTAAATTTGATCGCTTGATAGATTTTTCATCTGTCCATTTTTCTTTTCGTTAAACATTTTTGGAAGGCCCAGCTTTAGTTCCTCGGAGAGTGACCTGCTTTTTTAGACGGTTTTTCCAGACTCTAAAGTAATCAGCTATAGAAACTATGCCACCCATTACAAGCGACTGCTGAAGTTAGCAGGCTAAAAAAAAAAAATGTCACCCACCACAAATCACAACAAGAACTTAAGTATTACTGACACCCCGCAATTAGTGGTGTTCTGTTAGATGTGGTGGTCAGTATTTATGTCATGCTGTTGCTCACATGCATACCAGGTTGCAGTGACCAATTAGAGAAAGAACTTCCCTCCATATGCATCCTATTCAGCAAGGAGTGGTCAAGAAATAATGTTTGAGGGTTGGGTTGGGGGAGGTTAGTGAAGAATTAGGGTCTGGCTTGCCAGCCTAAGAATAGAGGGACCTCTTATTCTTTTGTGAAGCGCCGAATGGTTCAAAGTCACTAGCCTGTTGCCTCAGTGAAAAGACTGGAGCTCCAAAGGAATTTCCCCTGTGAGAACAACAACCTGTATGCTCTAGCTGTACTTAACTCCCCCCCTCAATAACCCTCAGCTTTGGCCTTGCTCTCTTTCAATCTCAGATTTATTTGTTCTTTAAAGCGGACATAGAAAGATCTGTTTGTGTGGGAGTGGAAAAAAAAAAGGCGTCAACATTCAAAGAAAACTGCTATCATAGTGAAGTTGTCTCCAGTTTCTCTACCATGCTCTCATTCTCTTTACAAATGTTGCTTCACACTTCTTCTTCATTTGCCAGCTTCTGTTCTTCTCTCAGACAAATTTATTTACAATTCCCTTTTTGTCCCTAATCCATGCCAGTTCTCTCTACTTCCAAGCTATTTTCTTTTGCACTCGCTCGCTCTAGATCACTGAGCCACTGTCGTACAAATCTAAGGCTAGTTCTCACTGATCAGGAAGACCAGGGCTTTGACCACTCATCGCTCCCTCTGTTCCCGCCTGGAGGGATGAAACCGGCCTGGATACACAGTCAGATGCTCACATATGAAGCCTGACTTCCAGGGGGTCAAACACAGAGCTTCCCACACACTTCCCAGTTTTAGCATTTTGACTGAAGAGCATGAAAATCACTTTCCAAGGAGGTGAGGTTGTTTTTAGATTCCTGTTTGTTCAAGCCTGCACCAGCCAACCTGCATACAGTCGCATTTCATGCATGCAGAGATATGATCGCAGATGAATTTGGTCCTGACTGTGCATGTTAGCACAACGATGTTCGCCTACACGTACCGTTCTGTAGCAGGTACACACACCCACACATCCAGCCTTTCCTGGATTCTTCAAGACATTAAGCCAGCAAAAGACGTACAGAAACACCAATAAATGTAAGTGTAAAAGGGAAACATGTTGTGTTGAAGCTTAAGGGAGTCATCTTTCATCCTTTATTTCCCTTTTGTTGATTTGATGCATAAATTATCAATTATTTAGACCGCAGGGAATATGTATAATTTATTTGACTAACATTCTCACATTTCACTTCAGTATCACTTTCATTTGGAGTCATATAGCGTCGTAAACGTGAACTCATGCAGAGTGAAAAATGCTTCATCTTCCTTTATCTGTCTACATGTTTTCATGGGGAGTATATGTCTGATTATATCATTGCCTTATTAAAACATTTTTGCAGTTAATTATTTATGAATCAAGGTCAGGTGATAACACTAGATCCCACTGTGTCTCCTAACACACTGAAATGTTTACAGCAGATCCCGAGCCATATTAGCATGCATTTGGGGTTGTGCTTCTAGTCACTTTGCATCCAATATTCACTGTCTTTGTTACTCTCTTTTTCTATTAACACCTAAAGGTAACAATCAACTGCTAAAGGCTCCACTGTGTTCATCTGTGACTTGCTAATTTTATCTGTCTGCAGTTTAGGACCGTGTAGGGTGCAGTGGGTTTATCAGAGCTGCAGCCAGACAGTGAATCAGAACATTAAATGCAACTGCATCACTGCTCCTTTAAAGGTGATTAAAGCTGCGGGTAACTGCAGAGTCAGGTGTTATTACTTTGTGGCTTCGTCACTGTGAGCGACACATTTCACATCCACAAAATCATGATAAAAAAAATAGTGATAATGGCTCCTTTAGACAAAATGCCACCATTTGTTAGAACCACAAACAGTAAATACAGGAGGATTCTTGGATTTTCAACTTTCAATTGCTAATCTGTCACGTACTGTCCAAATCTGAGCTCAAAATTGTGATATTTCATCAAATCACTTTTTTTTCTACAGTCTTATAAGAAAGTAAAGAGTTTGCTCTAACCAGATGCTGTAAAAAACAAATTATTCTGTGTTCTTCACCACAACCGTGAAGCCATGAGTGACTCAGCTGTGTCCAACAGTCATGTGACAAAAATTCAGTGACTTAATGGTTGAACTGGGCTGAACTGCAGGCTGTGTTTACAAAGAGCAGAAAGGAGACCAATATAGAAAACAGAGTAAAAATGTAAATAATAAACCATCTACACCATTTTTCCCAATCTTTGTATTGCCTGGGGACACTTGGAAAAATGTTGCTCATGTTGATTCCATTTTTAAAAATTTTTGTGGAATAAATCATCACAGAAATTCTGCTTTTTTTTTTCATGAGTTATGGCATTATTGCTTTGCATATTGTATGGCATTTTTGAGTATCTCTACTTCTTGCAGTGCTTGTGCTGTTTCCACAGAGGTGCAGGACTTTATATTACTGTAAAAAATTAGCCCACAGTGAGTAAAAATGTGACAGGAAAAAAAAAAAACAGCTAGAAACTATTTGGGATTCAAGGGGTTAACATGTCCACATAACAGCCTCGCAGTTATTCAGAACGAGTGTTTAGCTGTCATAAACTGTCAGCGTCTCTGGCCAGAATTAAATGAGTCAGTTTCATTAACAAAACAAAATTAAACAAACTAGCCATCAAGCTAACTTACTGATTTGCAACCACCCACTAATGAATCTTTACTGTCATCGTAGATTGGACCTTTAACTTTCTTGTCACCACTCATCACCACATCAAACACAAGCCTACAGAAGTCTTTGTCTGGTTTGACAGGCAGCAGAGCAAGTGGAAAGGAACTGTTAAAAAAAAAAGTGTCTGTGGGGAATTTACAAGACCCTTCTATTATTGTGCTGGCGTTTTGTCTCAGTGCTCCCGACAAAGACGGGGTCCTAACACTGTAGTGTGCTCAGTGGAGCAGAGATGGAGAAAGAGAAGGAGACGCAGAAAAGAAGGGCAGAGAGCAAAAGACAATGGCAGCACAAGAGAGAGAGAGAGAGGGAGAGAGAAAACCACCATATTGACATTCAGTTGTGGCATTATTAGTCCAGGAGCGTAAACTCTGCAGCAGTCTCCTTGATGCTCATTTTGGTTTGTTGCTCGAGCCTCATTTTATTAACTCTGTAAACAGACTGCTGTCTTTCAGTTTAGCCTGTGTTTGTCTGTGTTCACGACAAGCCCCCACTTGATCCTTCCTCTCAGGACCATCAGCCATCTTGATCTCAATCAGCCTTCAATCTTCTGTAGAATATTCCTCCGTGGAAATTTCCCATTCCTAAATGAGTCTGATCTAGAATTATGGCATTACAAGCCGCCCTTTGATCACTGCTGTGACAGTCAGGCCACTAAAGCTCATGAAAATTAAAGGAAAAAAAAGGGAGTATAACCTCTGAGAATGAAAGTATCAAGAGAGGGAAAGGAAAGCTATAAAAGGAGAGGTGAAATAGAAGCATAGCGCCTAAATTAGAGTTGTGTGTCTCCACTGAGTGATTGAAATGGAGAGGCTGCACTCTGAGGGGAGGCACAAATGGAGACGAATTGACTGTGGCCGATGTCATTACTGTTTAACAAACCTGCTATAAGCGTGTAAAGGTCTCAGCCACAATGATACAGTGAGGATAATGGAGTAATTTACCTCCCTGCAAATGGCTACTGTTGTGGGTGATAGTTGTTTTTTTCTGAATCTGCTGTGTGGGTGTGCATATTTACAAGCACTAGTTTTTCGCTCTAGTAATATTTCCATGGTTATATGTAGGTGCACTTGCAGCCTCCTACGTGCTGTTGGGTCCTGCGTTCCTGATTGCAGCTCTTTAACATCGTGGGCTCTATCTCCCATCTGAGGAGTCACCTTTGGGCTTTTTCCCGTCGTCCTCTTCTTACTGTGATGCCACGCACGGATGTCAGCGCTGCATGGATTAAATCAGACCGGCTGCTTTAGGCCAGCAGGATTGTATTCAACATAAATTAGCACATTTGAGAGGCTTTATAAACTGTTAGAGAGCTTAATGTAGCCAGCAGGTGTCCATATATTAATCTACGTAGTCCTTGAAATTGTCAAAGAAGGATAGAAAGGAACAAGCAAGCTGAAAATGACAATGTGCTTCTGTCACGTCAAGTTAGTTTTAGTTTTCCAGTCGAATATCACAAGTTTACAAATTCGCCTCATGGAGCTTTCGACCCTGAATGATAGATGTTTGCATTTCACAACAAAGCTTTACTGTTTGAGACCATATTTATTATCTTTCAAGTTGATTCATTTCATGGTTTCATCATTGTGCACAACACAATCATCTTATCCCCGTTCAGGCATTACCATAAACACTGATTACACATTACATGGCATATTAGTGTTGCAAATTAAAATGAATCAAGGAGCTTATTGGTGAATGAAATGATTACTAGAGGTTTACGCTTTCATTGTACATGTTTACCAGGGTTGTTCCTGCTTTGCATTTTTTTTATACCCCATAACAAGGTTGTAGCTGGTACCAAAATAACAATTGAGAATTAAATTTGTTCCTTGGAGTCTAACTTACCCAAGCCTAATAGACATTATTGTGTTTTGCAGACAACACATAGCTTTTCATCAGATAAGCTAACATACTTTTACTGTACATGGTGTGATCGCGCTTCGTGTTGTGCATAGCTTCCACCCAACGGCCCGATCTGACCCAAGAACAAAACGGTTTACATCCTGTGTGCAGTGACATTGTCTTTACCCTGATCTGTCAGCTGTGTTTGATTTTAAATATGCAACCACATTGTGATAAGACTTTAGGAAAGTGTTTCCAATGGCCAAGAAATGGTGTGGTACAGAGCTCCGTAATATTTGGGGATTTTCGGTTTTGTGGAATAAATATGTGAGATATAATTAACAGGTGAGCATTGGTGGTCCAGCTATGCAGATATTGTAATCTTTAAAAACACAGATGAGGTGTTTCCAGTCTTCATGCTAACATTTTAAGCGCTTGCTGCTGTGGTTTTGTGTTTAAGTAAAAGCAAAATCCCATAATTTGACAAGCTTTCCAAACATTAAAGTGAGAGAATTGTATTTCACTTTCTTTAATACCAGTTTTTTAAAAAAGTATTGCAGATTCTTTACTTGCGTATTTATCACCATATGGTATCATAGCCTCCTGATCAGTCAAGCATGTCATTCCTTAGCTGTCATCATTTCCAAGTTTACCCTCCATTTATAATGCCCCATAAATAACTTGAGTTGTGGCAGAATTAGAGAATTGTGCGACCAGCTCCAGTCAATAGTCCCTGGACATCATTGACCATAATGAGAGCGGTTCTCATGTCTAAGAATAGCTAAAGCCATGCGTGTCGGACCAAACGAGCAGCGGCACAAGTAGGACTCCAACAGGTTACGTACGTCCTGCTGGCTTTACAACCAAACAACATCTTGAGTCATTCTATTTACAAACAAGATTAATTCTCAGCTAGTCTAATCCATTGGGTTTTCTCAGCTGATTCTTTGGAAAGTCAGTTTTCCACCTGCCGAATTCCTCTTAGAACCTGAGCAGCGCAGTTCATCATATCTTCCGAACTGTTATGTTTGTGGTCATTTATCCTTTTTCAGTTTTTTTGCTCATTAGTTTAGCTCAGCTATCTTACAGTGCAGCTTAAACTCCCCACTTTAACCACTCCCGGAACATGTTCAGCATGCTTGAGAATGACATTAATTGTGCCGGGTTAATACTTGTGTCAGCCCTAAAGCTCATGAATGCACCGAACCTGCTCATGATAAAGAACGCTCTCAAACACAGGCGTTCCACCGGCTGCCTTTGCCATGGTGACAGTTGAAGCCAAAGACGTCTCGCTAATCCCAGGGATTTGAGCACCTTTTGGATTCTGCTGTTCCGTTTGTTGGAGTGTGCTACACTCACATGCAAATGTGCAATCACACACACATACACACTGTCAATCCGTCCTTGTGAGAGCATTTGGTGCTTTGCTAACACCAAAACAGACACACGTGAATGCATATAATCTGTACATCCTTACTGTCAAATGGAAGAGATGTAATTGTATAATCGAAGGTGGGTATTTATGAAAAATACAGATGTCAACGTCTTACATATCCAGATGACACACACACACACGTTATCATATGTACAAAATACAGATTGATTGTTTGCCTATAGATTAATTTTAAACGGTTCCCTCTGATCCCTTTAATCTTGGTATTAATCAATACACCAACATCAGCCACAAGCCTTCCTATGTGGGTTTGATGAAATCCAGTATGTTTGTGGGTGTCAGTGTGTTTACCTATCATTGCAGCTAGAGTGCGTGTCACAGCCTGTACCAGCATGCATATGGGAGTCAGACCCACACATCCCTTATTTCTACAGACCAGCTGATTAAAATAAAGACAGAGAGAGAGAGAGAGAGGTACATATAGGCAGATGAAGACATGTCAGCTGCTTACCTGCAAATGTATGGAGTAAGATGGAGAATCCACAGCCAGCGGTGTGTGTGAGAGAGTGTGTGCTGCAGGCGAGAGCGTATTTCTGAGCCTCTGTTGGTTCGTCTGTGTGGAATAGAGTTCCAGTCTCCCTCCCTCCCACTTGCTCACTCTCACTCTCTCTCCCTCTCTCTCTCTCTCTCTCTCTCTCTCTGTATTCGTCTCTGCCTCTCTCGCTCACTGCATCAGTGGTCCACTGCGTTGCTCCCATCACAATGCCTGTGGTCACACCTCACTGAGCAAATTGTTCATTAGCGGAGATCACCCACAGCCGCGGACACTGGGAAGCAGAGTTGGGCAGATGACAATGGCTTACGCAAACACACACATGCTAAAAACGTCATACGCAGCTTTTACATACATGTGCACACGCACACATACAGACTGAAAGCAGGTGACACACACAGCACTAAATTTAGACCTAATGTAACTCACATGCTAGTGATGACTTTACAGCTCTGCAGGCAAACCATCTACGACCACAACCAAAGCACATGTTCACATTGCATCAGTTTCCTTCATAACTATGCACAAACAAAACCATTATGTAAGCTGACATCATTGTGATTGAAACACGATAAGATTTAAGCTGCAAACAACTTTATGAAGAAGTCTTTTGTATCAGAGTCTGACATTCTGTTGACCCATCCAACCACCCTGACCTCCTCTATAACAGCTTCACCCTACTTCCCCATTTCTTTCAATTGTATATGCTGACATCCCTTCAACAAAGTCCAGCAAGACAAGAAACATGAGATGAGTAGCAAACAAACCCAAGGCTTAGCCAGGTTACAGCTTTGTTTGCCTTATACTTTGACCTAGCTACATTTGGGTGATGCATTTACATTTGCCTTTATTTTCTCCTCAAATGAATAAACTAAGAATATCACTCAAAATCTTCTGTAATCTTATTGTTGTGTTTCTTGCCTCGTTGGACTTCTTTTCAATATTGCCACATGTCTGGGCAATTTAATTGATGTGTAACCATTATCATTAACAATATAAATGACGGGCCAAAATTCAACCCTGTCTCCAGACATAAACAAATCGGAACATTCCACATTTTTAATCCAATGCTAACGTTTTTAAGACTCTTGCTTTTTGTGGTATGTACACATGGTAGCAATGTAAGGTTTAAGAATAAGGAAAGACTGTGTATGGCAACTAGCAGCTATGGAAACTAATCGAATTTACTCAATTTCTGTACATATTAAGTTAAAGGTACTTGTACTTGAGTTTTTCCATTTTATGCAGTTTTATACTTGTATTCCACTACATCACAGAGTCAATGATTGTACTTTTTAGTCCATTTGTCTGACAGATTTAAAGCTTAAATCTTTCTCACAGGACAGCAAAGGTACAAGCATATGAGGATCTTGTACAATGTGATGTATTACTGTAGATAAAACTACTAAACAGTATGTAAGGTTAAAGTTAAAACATGTACAGCAGTAAAATGCAGTAAATGCAACAGTATAGTAGCCATAATATTAATTAAAAACATTATATATAATTGTAAAAGACAGACAGGGGGCATTTTATTGCACAATGACCACTTTTATTTTGAATACTTTAACGAAATTTAGCCAATAACGCTAACATACTTTCACCAAACTAAGGTTTTAATGCAGGACTTTAACTTGTAGTGGAGTATTTTCCTACTGTGGTATTAGTACTTTTGCCAAAATAAAGGTTCTAAATACTGCTTGTCCATCCACCACATCATGGTCTAAACCTTTAATATCCGCTGTGCCACATATCCTCTGTTAGCACTGTATGCTACCATTCAGTATTAACCATGAGGTACAGATTTGTCCGATATGGGTGTAATTCCTACGAATACTAAGCTGCCAAAGCTGCAAAAAATAACATCCAGAATGTTCCAAAGTTCAAGGTCTCCTTCAAAACATCTGTCTTCTAAGTTTCTATCCCTGCCCAAATATAGAACGACTAATGTCATATCCAGCTTCAAACAAGTGAACATTCGGTACGGAGAAACTCAACTTTAACCCACTTTTGAACATTGTTTCATCAACTGGCGTGACTGACTTATCTCAGACATCTACTGTGTCCAGTGAGACGATGTTACTGTAATGTACTGGCACTACATTCCCCTGGTCTTTTCTCAATGATCCCCAGGAACTTCCTAAATATAGACACAATGAGCAAACTACGAGAGTAAAAAAACACAATTTCCTGAGCTGTGGCTGAGCAGTCCTGCCTGTGATGAAGCCCCCTCCCCAGCTTGGCTCAGTCCCATTGGCGCAGCCAAGACTGCCTTAATAACATATTTGACCTTGAGCCTCTTTGCTATTTTTACCGCCGTTATTTTACCGCGGTGAGATCAAAGACCAGTTCCCTTACAGGACGGCTTCTGCTATTTTAACCGTGTTGCATTGTTGCATTTTTCTATAAAATAATTGGATTTTTACGTAGGCTATTATTTCGACCTTCAAAGCTAGTCAAGACAGCCATATGTTAATGCCGTCATATATCAGGGACTGACTCAGTGTGTCGCCCATACTAAAGAGGACTGACTCAGGAACAAACCCAGCCAGAGAATTTACTCTTTTATAGTAAAAGACATAAATTTTTAGAACATTGACACACGGGGGACAAGGTTTTAAAGTCGGATTTAATGCCATGGTATAAATCAAATAATTTTGGAGTAATTATAGACACTAGCACTTCTTTCCAGCCAACAGGCTTCGCTTCACAGTAGTGAGAACACGAAAAGTGATATTAACTCCAGAACTGATTAAAACAATTTCAATTCTATGAACTTACGTTTTACGGCTGATCTTTAAACTTTGCCAGAGGGCAGCTTTAACAATAGACGTGCATATGTGGTTTAATGACAACATTTTGTCTCTGCTCAGCCTTTGGTCATTTAAGCAGTCATATTGCTCTTTTTTTATTGCCTTCTTTTTAATTTTGCCTAAAGTTTGCAGTAATTCAAATATAAGACAAAAGTAAGGGGAGACAACTGAAAAAGTCTAAAAAATCATATATATATATATATTTTAACTGTTGACAATCATGTTCTAAGCATATTATGTGTTTAGACTGTTTCTTCAGTGATCTTGTTCTAGACCCTGATCGCTATTTTTGATCAGCCAATATAATTGACTGATATTCACCTACCATAGACCGGTACCTGCATATATGTTGTTTGACATACACCATACACTGACCTGAAAACTTTTTTTTTTTTTTAACTGAGCATAATGTAGAAAAGGATACTTTGGATAATTTAGAAATGGTATTGATGCATAATTTAGTCTGCAGTGCGACTCTCACTCCGTTGTTTACAACACTCAGCACTGTCTGCAGCACATGTAGCAGAGTATGTATCACAGCTGAGCAGATGGTGGTGCCGAGTCAAGTTGGGTCTTTGTGGTAAGTCGCTAACTAGTTTGTAAAATAAACTGCTGGCAAGTTAACTAACATTGACGCTGTAATTTACCTCGTCTATATAACTCTAGCATGCGATTATATATATCACAGATTTTTTAAAATCCTTAAAATGGGTATCAGCATTGGGCTCATAAATCATCGTCAGTCGAGCTCTAATCTGTACATATGCATACAAAAAATATTAACTTACCTTAAATGTAGCTTTTCTGGATACAGTTGGAAATCTAATTATATGTCAGTCAGAGCCTATTTGTTAAAATTATTTTTTGGAAACAAAAATGCCAAACATTTACTTTCTCACAAATCAAAGGTTTTCCTGTTGTCTCCGGTTTTATCTATTTGTATTTAATATCTTAAATAAGACAACCAAAGATGTTCCTTTGGTTGTGGGGATATTTTGATGGATAGGAATATTACTTATTTTTCCATTTTCTGACATTGTACCAGGTCATAGTGAAAATAACAAACATGTTGATTGAAAAAGGAGATACTCTTTGGTTTCAGTTCTGACGCATTCTGCTGTGGCACCGAAAACACTCTCCCTCCTCCAAGATAACAGCTATCAATAGCATCATGCACTTTTGCACATATACCTGTGTTCTTAGGGTGACTAATGGCAGGGGATTTTTTCACTGTGTCAAAGGGATATTCGTGCCTCCTCAAGTCAGGCTGGCGTCTTGAGGACACTTTGAAGGAGATCGGCATCCCCAGAGAACACGAAGACTTCAGCGTGCTGTGTGTGACTTCAGACTAATGTCCTCTCGCTGAACAGTCCGCTGGCTCCGGCACACGGAAAGTGCCAGACAATTGTTAATTGTGAAGGTCAAAGAAAGTTTCTTTGTCTGGGAGCAAAAACACAACAATGGACACTCTCAATAGTTTACTGGCTCTGCCATCTATATGGGTCCTGGCCAGGGTTCTTTCTCTGTGTTTTTTATAGTAATGGCAAGGTCAGGTCACCCAAATCACCCCAAAACGTGAAACAAAGACAAGTATTCTATTTACAGCAGGCTTTTGATCTTGTGCCTACATTATTAAAAGCATGTGCGTGTCTCCAGATTGAAGCTGCATGTTTTTCTACCACCATATGTTGACATCATAGAATATTTATTAATTATCTTACTTACTGTATGCAGTAATTCACTAAAGTAAAAGGGAAAAAAAAGTGTGGCGCATCATTAATCAAAGTCTTAATATACGGAACAGCAGGAGTCATAGTGTAAATATGACCTTTGAAAAAATCCATGAAGTCAATCAGAGCAGGGAAAAATCCAGTACACGGCTGGTAACTCTTAACATGCAACGCTCCATGTATACTTGTAGTCTCACGCAAGCGTTGCTGTGTATTTTCAGCTCAATGAAAAGCGTGTGTGAGTTGTGTGTTCTTATGAATGTCGGTCTTCCCTCCAGATCTGATACGGTTGATTAGGGCTGTTAGATGAGGATCAGAGATGACCTTGGTGGACAAATCATCTGCAGTCACTTGAAATGCAGAGAAAGGCCTGTTGCTGGAGTGCTCACAGTAGTACAGCGTGTGCCTTTTTATGAAGCTTTTGTGACCGTGAGCGACCACGTTGAAGATGTGTTTAGATTTAACAGGAAGCAGTTTACCAGCCTACTTTACTAGAGGGAA